TCGTTACGGACTTAATGGGCTGAATGGCCCACTTCACACTGTAGGGATTCTATGATTCTGATTATGTGATGTTAGCAAAGGCATAAAATGTCAGGCTTAAGTCTGAAAAGCCATTGTCTATTTATCAAAAGACATTCAAGTAGTCCTTTAGTAGTACAGAATTTGAATATTGATGAAAAAAGACACAGTCAAAGCTTTTAGTCTTGCATTCTTCAGGATAATACCTAAGTAAAGGGAAAACAACATTTATACTGTATGAAGGGTGTGCAGTTGCTTTGAAAAAAATCTGTTTGGTTGAGGTGTTGCCATGGAAAATGCACCAGTCAATGATGCCAGCCAGTTAACTACTAAGCTCCCCCCAGAGTCTACACCAGGAAGGTTGAAATTGATTGGTAAAGGCATTGTCTTTAGAACTGAACTAGGCAATGACTGTCACCTATTTTGCCAAGTTAATACAACTGCTGTGTGAGTGCATGTTCTTTCTGTTTGCAAACATTCCTGTGTAAACCCTGTGTATTAACATTCATAGCTTCTCGTACATATAAGTGTGCCACACTGTTGAGTTTGACTGACAATCCTAAATTGGCCATAAAACAACATTTCCCATCAATGTTTTCGAATAAGCAATGTACTGATCCAACCTGCTTGCAAAATGTACAACACAGTGTTCAAAATTAGATGTGATTCAGCAACTGGAGCAATAATCCTGAGTGTGTGACGAATTATACTGACAATTTAGATTTGTCAAAATTTAGGTTGTCGTTCATGAACTTGTGTAGCTTATCTTTATGTGTATATATGCCACTAACAGAATAAAATCATAAAATGGGTAGTACTCAGAAGACCATTCAGTTTATCAAGCCTAAGCTGGCTCTCTCAGGAATAACTCACAGTCCCACTCCTCTGCCCTTTCCCCATAACCCTGAAAATCTTCTCTCTTCAGGTGCTCAACCAATTTCCTTTTGAATGCCACAACTTAATCTGGTTCCACCGTACTTAAGCAGTACATTCCAAATCCTAATTACTCACTCTGTAAAGCAAAAAGTTTGTTAAGTCACGTTTGCTTCTCTTACCAATGACCTTAAATTGACATCTTCTGGTTTTTGATCCCTCCATTGAAAGGAACAGTTACTTTCTAGCTGCTCTGCCCAGATACTTTGTGTGTTTGAACACCTTTATCATATGTCTCAAACTTCCCTTCCCTTAAGAGAATATGATGTGGTGGTGCTAGTGTTGGACTGGAGTGGACAAAGTCAAAAATCACACGACACCAGGTTATAGTCCAACAGGTTTATTTGAAAACACTAGCTTTCCAAGCTCTGCTCCTTCCTCAGGTGTAGTTTAAAAGAGGAGGTACACCGACACTGAATTTATAAGCAGAAAGGTAACAAATGGCTCGCTGACCGCCTCCAGTTGAATCTTTAATCAGTTGGAAAGGAGATACAGATTTCTATTGATTAAAATGCAAATCCCAGGATTTCTTTCAAGCCATTGCCCTGAGATAATTAAAGGTTTTATCAATGTATACAACAGGTGACATCTCAGGTCAGACAATGCATTTTAGGTGTGGAGCCTTGGTTAGAATGTGTCTGTGCTTTAACTTGGAGTCAGGTTGGTTTTTTTTGAACAAAATAGAATGTATCTGCAAATACACAGACATCTTTGATGAAATAATTCACCTCATAGATTTATATGTGTGGTGTGTATGTGTGTGTGTGAGATAGAGTGTGAGAGAGTATATGTGTGTGAGCATGTGTGTGTGAGAGAGAGAGTCTTTGTGAGTGTGTGTGTAAGTGTGTTTGTGTGACAGAATGTGTGTGTGCGTTTGTGCGTATGTGAGTGTGTGTGTGAGAGTATATAGTGTGGTGGGGTCACCTGTAGCATGACACGAACCCAAGATCACAATTGAGGCTACGCTCATGGGAACCAAACTTGGCTATCAGCCTCTGCTCAGCGATTTTGCATTGTTGTGTATCTCAAAGTGCACCTTGGAGAACGTTTACCCAAAGATCGAAGGCTGAATGCCCTTGACTTCTGAAGTGTTCCCCCACTAGGAGGAAGCACTCCTGTCTGCCGATTGTTGTGCGGTGTCCATTCATCTGTTGTCGTAGCGTCTGTGTGGTTGCACCAGTTTACCATGCCTTGGGGCATCCTTGCCTGCAGCGTATGAGATAGACAACGTCGGCCGAGTCACATGAGTATCTGCTGTGTGTGTGGTGGGTGATGTTCCCACGTGTGATGGTATTGTCCATGTCGAAGATCTGATATGTCTTGCAGATGTTGCCATGGCAAGGTTGTGGTTGATGCTGTGCTGAAGTCTGGGTAGTTCGCTGCGAACAATGGTCTGTTTAAGGTTTGGCAGATATTTGAAGGCAAGAAGTGAAGGCATGGGGAAGATCGTGCTGAGGTGCTCATCATCGAAGAACATGGCATAGTTTCTCCATTCCCAGGAAGTACTGGATGATGAAGGGTACCTTACTGGTCATATCCCATGTTTGTCTTCTGAGGAGGTCATTACGGTTTTTCGCTGTGGCAGCATTGAAGGACGTCCTCATAAGAACGGGATACGATGCTCAACTCATCAATCGCCAGTTCCGACAAGCCACAGCAAAAAACCATAATGATCTCCTCAGAAGAAAGACACGGAATACAACCAATAGCATACCCTAAGTCATCCAGTGTGTCGCAGCCTTCAACACATTATCGATGGCGACGAGCACCTCACCACAATCTTCCCTACTCCACTTCTCACCTTCAAATAACTGCCAAACCTTAAACAGAACATTGTTCACAGCAAACTACTCAGCCTTCAGGACAACATTGACCACAACCCTGCCATGGCAATCTCTGCAAGATATGTCAGATCATCAACAAGGATACCACCATCACATATGGGAACACTACCCACTTTGTACACGACAGATACTCATGTGACTCAGCCAATGTTGTCCATCTCATACGCTGCAGACAAGAATGCCCTGAGGCATGGTACATTGGTGAGACTATGCAGACACTACGACAACGGATGAATGGACACCGCGCAACAATCGCCAGACAGGGGTGTTCCTTTCCATTGGGGGAGGACATTCGACCTCGGATCTTTGAGTAAACATCCTCCAAGGCAGACTTTGAAATACATAACAACACAAAATCGCTGAGCAGAGGCTGATAGCCAAGTTTGGTAGCCATGAGGGCAGCCTGAACTGTGATCTTGGGTTCATGTCATGCTACAGGTAACCCCACCATACTATATACTCTCTCTCTCTCACACAAACACGCTTACACTCACACAGACCCTTTCTCACATACATGCACCCTCACACACATACATTCCCTCACACTCACTGACTTTCTCAAAACACACACACTCACCCACACGTACACATACACATTCTGTCGCACAAACACATTTACACACACATACTCGCACACTCACACAGACCTCTCTCACGAACACGCGCGCGCACACACGCACACGCGCACACATACACACACACACACACACACACACACAGAGCCTCTCTCTCTCTCACGTGCACATACACATGCACGTTTTTAGGGTTGTTACCTTTCTGCTTATAAATTTTGTGTTGGTGTACCTCCTGTTCCACACCACACCTGAGGAAGGAGCAGAGCTTTGAAAGCTAGTGTTTTCAAACAAACCTGTTGGACTATAAAAACTAGTTCTGAGGAAGGGTCACTGGACCCAAAATGTTAACTCTGATTTTTTCTTCACAGATGCTGCCAGACCTGCTGAGCTTTTCCAGCAATTTCTGTTTTTGTTCCTGTTGGACTACAACTTGGTGTTGTGTGATTTTTGACCTGAAGAGAACAACCTTAGAATCTATAATAAATGCACTTAACTGCAGTCTCTTATGGCTCGAACCATTCTCATAAACTTTTTCTATTTTCTGTACCCTCTCTAAAGTCTTCACTTTTCTAAGGTACAGTGCCCAAAATTGGGCACAACACTCCAGTTGAGTCTGAAAAAAATTCTTGTGACTCACCTCAGATACTCCTTCTAATATCTAATCACTCTCTGGATAAACAAGTTTCTCCCTGATTCCATCCTAGATTTATTGATGACTATATTTTACTTTAGTCTCCAGGTCTGGCCTCCTTCACAAAAAAAAAGCTTATCCATTTTGCAAATGATTCAAAGCTGCAAAGAAGGTATGCAAAGAAGACTGTACAGAGGGATGTGAATTGGGTGATTAGACAACAAAGATGCTAAATAGAGCGTAATGCAGTGAGTGAAATTTTGAAATATGGTAGGAAGAAAGGAAAAGGTGAGATTCATAGGGATTTGGTTGCTCTTGTACACAAATCTTAAAAAAAATTAATCTGCAAATACGGCAAGCAATTTTACGGGCAAGTACTGTGATAAATTTTATTGCAAGTGGTTTTTAATATTGAAGTAACAAAAGTTTCTGCTATTGTGTATGGCTTTGGTGAGACCACACCTGGAGTGCTGTGTACAGTTTTGGTCTCCTGCCTATGAAAGGATTCTACCAACATTAGAGACAGAATAACAAATGTTCACTAAATTTATTCTTCCTGGTACGAGAGGTTTCCCCAATGCTGGGACATTGAGTTGATTGGAGAACTCTTGATCACCCTCCTTTTTACATTCTACAGGCCCTTAAAAGGTCAACATCATTCCTTAGATAAGAGTTTGTGTATGGATTTCCTGCACTTGTTCTGACTGCTGGAGTGGCTTGAAAAAGAATTTTAGGGAGTATAATTTCCTGCCTGGACCTTGGTTTTTCTTTTGTTTTTGCCTCAGGTGTTAGGCTAAGGAGAGAGTCTAGCCATTTTCTGACCCATACATTGCAGGACAGGCTTGATGAACTTTTAGAAGCTTGTAATAATACTTCTTAATTTACATACTAACTTTGCCATGGTTTTCTCATTTTAAGAACATAATGAATTACAGTGCCAGATGCCCTTGTCTATATATTTTTCACATATACATGCAGGTTAAAGCCACGGTATCTTACCACATTGGTATTTCGTTCTGCTGCAACAGTGCCCCTTTGTCTATGTTGCCTGTGTCGACGCCTCAGGTTATACACAAGTAGGACAAATGCGACAATAAGGAGGAGGAGTAATACGCCAATGATTCCTCCCAACAATCCCATTTCCTTAGAACTGTGCTTCCTGCTTTCTTTGGGAAGTCCAGTTGGAACTACAAAATAACAGGAGAAAAATGTCATTGGATCACATAAGTTGATAAAATTTAGTGGTCTGGGCGCAATGGACCTTACATGGGGAAACATCTGTGTTTTTTTATTTCTATGCAAGATTTGGTTAATTTTCATAAAGTCGTCATTGTCATGGGAGTACGTTTATCACTGAGCCCAATTTTGAGGTCAGCCACAACACTGTGGAACAGCCACATCCATAGTTGGAGGATGAGAAATAAGTAACTGTTGGTCTTCAGTTCTCAGCCATCCAATGAAGATTTAGTTTATAAATATAAGTATCAAAGAAAATAAAGTCATCATAGTCCCAACAGGCTGCTCTTTTATTAGAGAGAGACAACTGGTGTTGAATTTACCCTGACTGTCACCACACCTCAGGTGAGGGGTGAGGTTAAGAAGGCAGGACCTTCATGGTAACTTCAGACAATGCAGGAATTTCACCTGCACTGTTAGTATCACTGTGCATCACAAACCAGCCATGCAACCATCTGAGGTAATACACTGCAGGATTTGCTACGGGTTGTAATAGAAAGCTCTGATTGGATGTTAAATATCTGAAGTCTTTTGTGACCTTTGGACCTACATTACCAAGGTGGGGGTCTCAGGCCTGCTACACACCATACTGCAGGCCTTGCCAAAGTGAATTGCAAGCCAAAGTTTTGGCGTCATGAGGTCTGGATCATAATGGCTATGTACTCCTACCAAGTGAATTGTTGCAAGTCAGTTTAAATCCATGCATTTCTTTGAAGTTACCAGCATGGCCTTAAAGTTGACATCTACCAGTCTGTCATCTGCAAGGTGCACTGCATTAAATCACAAAGGTTTTTTTGATAGCGCCTTCCAAACCTACAACCTCTACCACCTGGAAGGACAAGTTTATTTAAAATCACAAGATTTTAATCAGGTGACACTTCACCTGATGAACGAGCAGCACTCTGAAACTTTGTGACTTTAAATAAATCTGTTGGACTATAATCCGGTATCATGTGACTTCTGACTTTGTCCTCCCCAGCCCAACACCGGCATCTTCACATCATAGAAGGACAAGAGCAGCACATGCATGGGAACATTACCACCTGGAAGAGAAATGACCAAGGTCCATCTAGTTTGCATTCTACCATCCTACTAGTCACATGTGACAACAGTAATGGAGTTGTTGACTAATCATAAAAAATAAACTTATCTATCAAACAGTCTGTAACAGAATTAATATGAGATGAGGAATGCTTCAATAATTGAGAGCTTTGAGCACTGTAGTTCCAGAGTTGCCTGTTTCTCCCAAGCTTTGTACACTCTCCACACTTAATGATTTGGGATGATTACCAAGCTAATGCTGCTTTAGTGTAATCATGGAGGAGAGATTGATAGTTTTGTTGATAGGCTTACCTGGCTGACTTGAGTGAAGAACTTCAACATTGACCTTGGTGCTGACAGTGTCCCCTGAATCATTATCGGATCCAACAATCTGTGCACATAGGTCAAATTTTAGTACCTCTTTTGGAATGAAAAATGAAAAGCATTTGAGAAAATATTGTGAAAATTCATTCTGCTAACAGTGAATCAGTGCTATAATAACTCAGGACAGTACTTGAGACATAAAGAGGTAGCAAAGAAGGAATATTCCACATCAAGGTCTGTTGGCACATGAAAGGGGCTGATGATAGTGCCAAGTCAGTCAGAGTAATGATGGTAATAAGAGAGACACTTCGAAGAAAATGTTAAACTAGGAATGGAAAGGATCACCAGTAAGGGTTTGAAATGGATTGCTAGGCCACTTCAGAAAGCAGTTTAGAGTCAACATAGTCACATATGGACCAGGCAATAAACAGATGGCAGGTTACCTTCTCTGAAGGGCATCAGGAAACTGTCTAGATCTTTATGACAAATCCAATAATTACATGGGATGGAATCTTATTGAGGCATTGGGAGTCTCTATAGAGACCCAATGAGAGACCCACATTACCTGTTTTCAGGAAGGCCTACCCTGTCACAACCAATAAGGCAGTGGTGAGGTCATAGGTGAACCTTCCCCTGGAATCAAGACGCTGAAGGCCTACTGAGAACAGATGGCCAATCAGAGACAGCCAGTTCTTCTGCTGCAGAATGGATGAAGTTTTACTTTTTCTTTGAATACCCCCATCTTTGAATATTCTGCCAAACTTCACCCTTACCTGCAGCATGTACTTTTCATGCGCATGCAATCGATTAGTTCGAGCAAGTAGGAGCCCTTCCTGTGTGATCTGGTATAGCTGTGTGTGATTGGACTGATTTGTCAGGGTGTAGATAAGTTTCGGGTTTCTGCCCTAGGGTAACACAAGGGCACAAAATCAGGTGGAGGCATTTATATCAATCTTGTACATTTGATCTTTTCCACTGCTGCCTATGTACACTTTTCAGTTATATTCCATTCTTACAACATAAGAACATAAGAGCTCGCAGCAAGAGTAGGCAACTCTTGAGCCTGCTCTGCCATTTAATATAATCAGGGCTGATTTCATCTTGGCCTTAACTCCACTTGCCTGCCTGCTCTCCATAACCCTTCAGCGTAAGGGTTAAAAATCTATCTCCTCATTTAATTTATTCAATAACCCAGCATCCACCAACTCTGTGGTAGTGAATTTCATAGATTCAGGACCCATTGACAGAAGTTATTTCTCCCCATTTCTGTTTTACATTTGCTCCAGCTTACCCTAAAACTATAACCTCTTGTTCTAGATTGTCCTGCATGAGGATACCTTAATTAGATCTCCTCTGATTCTTTTAAACTCCAGACAATATAGGCCTAAACTGCTCAATCTCAAAATAAACCCCTCATCTCTGGAATCAATCTAGTGAACCTCCTCTGAACTCCAATACAACTATATTCTGTAGTGACTAGAACGAGGTCCTGCTGGGTAGACCTCATAGAATATGAGCGCCGAGTTCCCTGAATGGTGGCTATTAACTTGGTCCAATCAGAGAGTCCTGGCTGAAGGATATAAACAGGAGCGTCAGGGGTTCTGTTCACTCTAGGAGCCGGCTATGAGCCAGCTGGGTCAGTGTCATGTACTATGCACATGTAAATAAAGGGTGACTTGGTGACAGGATACCGACCTTCATGAAGTTATTTCACATGCATCCTTCAGTAAGGGGACAAAAATTGTACAGAATACTCCAGGTGAGGTCTCACTAATGTCTTGTACAATTATCAAGCTCATTTAGCCTAAGAGGGAATATATCCTGACCTGTGAACTTCTTTGATCACTGTCTTGATGAGATGAATTATGTTGACTTTGGAATGAGTCATAAGCACATATGAATTAGAAGCCGGGGTAAGACATTCAGCTCCTTGATCTTGTTCGTCCTCCTGGCAAGATCATGATTGATTTGATTGCCATCTCAAATTTTTCTTCTACTTACAAATTCTACTTTCCTGCCTAAAAATTTTGGACTTCCTCATGAATTAAGGATCTGTCTAACTCAACCTTAAAAATATTCAATGCCTCTTCCTCAGCTGGTCGCTGGGAAAGAGAATTCATGGAGTACAACCCTTTGAGGGAAATAAATTCTCGTCTCCATTATAAATGGGATACCCATTAAGATCTAAATGGTGTTCCCTCCTGTTAGGGAAAAAAGTCCTTCCAGCCTCCATCCTGTCAAGTCTCCTAGGAGGTCTCATATCAATAAAATCTGGGTAATACATCCATGGGTGAAGGAGAATATTTATCTACTTCGCCTTTCAAAGCTGATTCTTTTTCCACTGTTTTCTCAGATAGCTCATGGCATAAAATAAAATTCTAAACTCCACCTTCACTCTTTTGAATGTTGTTAAATTTGCCTATCACCTACCAAGGAAAATAGTTTTCCTGATTTCCTTTATCAAACCTCTTATATTTATCCAGACTTTAGATCTCCTAACCTTCTTGGATCTAAAGAAAACAGCCTCAGAATCTCTAGTATCCCTTCATATCTGAATCCTCTCATCTTTGATCTCATAGAGTAATAGAGTCATACAGCATGGAAACAGACACTTTGGTCCAGCCAATCCATGCCAACCACAATCCCAAACTAAACTATCCCACCTGCCTGTGCTTGGCCCATATACCTCCAATATTTCTTACTTGTGCACTTATCCAAATGTCTTTTAAATGTTGTAACTGTACCCACACCCACCACTTCCTCTGGAAGTTCATTCCATACACGAACCATTGTGTAAAACACTTGCGCCTCATGTCTTTTTAAAATCTTTCTTCTCCCACCTTAAAAATATGTCGCCAGTCTTGAAATTCCCCACCCTAGGGAAAAGACACTTGCCATTCACCTCATCCATACCCCTCATGATTTTATAAACCTCTATAAGGTCATCACTCAACCTCCCACGCTCTAGTGAAAAATGTCCCAGCCTATCCAGCCTCTCCTTATAACTCAAACCCTTCTTGCAAATAATCAGAGGTAATAGTCTATCTGTATTTGCTGTCTTCCTCTCCTTCAAAAGGCATCCTTGATTATTTGAGGATCACTGAATCATAGCTTACTCTGTGATATTGGTAGAGGACAGGGTGAGGAGGCAGGCCCAAATCTACCTCAGCTACAATGGCAATCTAACCCCACAAAATTAGTGTTATTCTAAACAACATGCTAGCTGTTTCACCAACTGAGTAAAACCTCATGTTCCCGCCCGACCACCTCCCATCCTTTTATTGTTTAAAACACAACTGGATCAGAGAACCCAAACATCTGAACTCAAGAGAACATACACTAAATATATTGCTAGTTAATCCTTTAAACCCTGGTACCATTCTGGTCTTTCTGGTCTGTACCTCTATCCCTTCCCCTCAAATATAATTTTTCCTGAGGTATGAAGCCCAAAACAGAACATTGCATTTCATAACAAGGAAAAAGCTTATAGGGTTATGGAGAAGGGAGAATGTGACTAGGTGGACAGTTCTTTCAAAGGGCTACTGTGAGCATTAAGGGTCAAATGGCCTCCTCCTATCCTCCTAAGACTCCATAAGAGATGAGGCCTGATCAAGTCTCTGTACAACTGAAACATTCACTTTTTCACTTGTTCACTTTTGATATTTCAGCATCCTTGAGCTGAATATCAGGTAAGACGCTCGGACAACTCCTCTGCTCTCTTCAAATAGTGTGTCAGATTTTTTGCACCACCTTAGTAAGTAGAGAGCACCTTAGTTTAATTTCTCTTCATTACCCTCGACAATGGAAAGATGAGGGAATGAGGGACGATATATTAAAAATAAACATGATTTTTAACTCACGTTTTTGAAATCTTGATCCACTGCTTTCACTAATAAGGGTTTATTTCCATAAGTGACTACCAGGGCAAAGGGGTTAGGTTGCTCCTGAACAAATCCTTTATACTCGATCTTGTTAAACCGTGGCCGATGACGATTCTGGACCAGGACATGAATCAACACCTTGGTCACTGCGTATTTGCTGGGGTCATCCACTTGAGAAGCCTGGAGAAAAGAACATCAGAGTAACCCAGCTGTGCTCACCCCAGTGCCGTAATGACACTATTCCTTTTATTATTCCCTGCTTGCTCCTGGAATGAAAGTCAGTCCCAGAAGAAGCAATAATATGGTAGGGGAAATCTAAACAGCATTATGTACTAAAATACCTATCCTTGAGAATTCTGGACAATCTGATTGGGATGAGGGAAAGAGATCACAGAATCCTATAGAATCCCTAGAGCGTGGAAACAGGCCTTTTGGCCCAACAAGTCCACACCGACCCTTGGAGCATCCCACCCAGAGCCATCCCGGTATAACCCACCTAATCTACACATCCCTGAACACTACGGGCAATTTAGCATGGCCAATCCACCTAACCTGCACACCTTTGGACTGTGGGAGGAAACTGGAGCACCCAGAGGAAACCTACACAGACACGGGGAGAAAGTGCAAACTCCACACAGACTGTCACCCGAGGGTGGAATCAAACCTGGGTCCCTGGCGCTGTGAGGCTGCAGTGCTAACCTCTGAGCCACCGTGCCACCCAGGTGGACTGAGCACTCATATTTTGTGTGCCCCTGCCTCCATTCAAAATATATTGATGTCTACCTTTATCTATGTCTCCCTATGTCTACCCTATCAAACCACTTTGTAACTGTAGTTACCTCTATCAGGTAGCTAGGCTTCTCTTTTCTAGAGAAGGCAATCCCAGCCTGCTCATGCCGTTCTGATAATTATATCCAGGCAATTCTGGTCTGATCTATGTAAATCACTTTTTAATTTAGAGAAAAGAACTGTGTGCAGCACTTTAAATAGGATCAAAACAAGATCCAGTGTAGATTTAACATGGTTTCTTTGCTTTTCAAAGTGTGAACTCTTAGCTAAGTAATGGCAGGGTGCCAAGTACAAAAAAAAGGCAACGTTCCTTTTGTGATTCTGCCCAGTGACTTCTAAGTGTCAATAGTGGATTTTAGGTTTGAGCAGCCTTGATTGTAGTGTGGAGTTATGGTGCATTATCTGTCAATGATCATTGTCTAAGCTCACACTTGAAGAACGGTTGATTGATTAATGTACAAAAGGGTCTCTATTGCCCATGGAGCCAAACTTAACAAGGCCTTCAGGACAAGCAGGACTGTGTAGAAAGGAGGAATGGAAAGAGGTTATTAATTTATCCAGAGCCATTATCCACTGCTTTGATCCATTCCTGACTGTACAGTTGAAGGAGGGAGGGCTATTTCTGGATTATTCTGCAACAGATAGTATCCAGTATATGAATTTTGGGCAGAATGGCCAGTTCATTCATTGTCTCAGTGATATTTTTTATTTTAATTGTGAACTATGGCTGACTCTACTTTCTTTACCATGATTTTCAGAGAGAATGATGGATTTTGTACATAGCTCCGGACTGGCCACCTCATCATTATCGCTCCAGTAATATTGCTGATTTCAAATCTGCCGTTATCATCACCTGCAGGAGAGATAACAGTGAAACAACAGTGCCATTCTCCTGCTGACCTCAATCCCAATTCTCCTGCTAATCCTCACCAGAACACCCAAGTGATGTCCACATGGGTGCTTTTCCACAGACCCCTGTTTAGCTCTCCTGCCACCTCCATGCCAGATCCCCAGCTGATGCCCCAACGCCATTTTTCTCTTTGCCCTCCCAATTCCACTGAGAACCACCCCCCCCCCACCCCTCTAGCTCTCACACTAACAGCTCCCCTCCCAGGTTACTAGATTTTCTATCACATCCTCTACACACAGCATAAGGCTTTCAGTTATAATACCCTCTCTTATCCACCCCACCCTCAATGCTATCATATGGTGAGATTTTTATTTGTTGTTTTACTTCAAGCTAGAGATTAGCTATTTGAATTGATTTGTTAATCTTTTAGAGTTCAGACCTTCAAGGATCGAGTATATAACTGGTGTCTGAAGTCCTATGTCTCCATCCTCTGCTAATATGGAGCCTGGGGAGAGTTGGAGAGCATGAAACTGTAATAGAAAAGAAACTGAAATAAGTAAAATTTGAGAATCTTGTATGTTTTAATAAGGCCACCCCTCATTCTTATGAATTGTAATGAATAAGGGCCTAACCTATTTAGCCATTCTTGATAAGTCAACCCCTTCATCCCAGGAATCAGCGAAGTGAATCTCTATTGAACTGCCTCCATCCTTTCCTAAATACAAGCACCAAAATTGTACGCAGTATTCCAGGACTAACACTGTTCAGTTGTAGCAAGATTTCCCTATTTTTAAACTCCAACTCCAAGCAATAAGGCCCAAAATTCAATTTACTTTATTAATTACTTGCTGTACCTGCTTGGTAAACTTTTGTGTTTCATACATAAGAACACCCAGATTCCTTTGCACTGACCCTTTCGGAGTCTCTCTCTATTTGAATACCAGCCTCTGTTTTGATTCTCCTCACCACAGTATGTGATATCACACTTTTCAACATTAAATTCTATCTGCCAAGCTTTTGCCCACTCACTCAACCTATCTATGTCCCTGTGCAGATTTCTTACATCATCATCACAACATGCCCTCCCTCCTATTTTTGTATCATCTAGAAGTTTGGATACATAACATTCTGCTACCTGCTTCAGGTCATTAATATTGTTAGTAAATAATTGTGGCTCTAAGCACTGATCCATGGGGCATTCCATTAGTTACAACTTTCCAATCTGAAAAAGACCTAGTAATCCTGGCTGTCTGTCTTGTGTGTTAACCAATCCTCAATCCATGTGAATACATTATCCCCAATACAATGAACTCCTATCCTGTGCAATAACCTTTTACATGGTACCTCATCAAATACCTTCTGGAAAAATGCCTCTTACCGGTAACCTTGCCTCTGTGACATTTCCTGTGTAGATTGGATTGACACAAATCCTGGATGCTCCATGTGACAGGAAATTGCAGGGAAGGAATCTTGGGTACTGGTCATCCCCATCTAATACATTGATGGTAATTTTCGCTGTTGTGTTGTATCTCTCTTTGGTATTCACTTCCTGTGTAATAGACACTGTTAGATTAGTGCAGGAAATGCTAAATTACTGAGATTGACACAGCTGATCAGGGAAGGATGTGATAGCAAGTCATAACAACAAAGTAACCTGGACATTAAAAAGGGGCCTGAGATTTCCTCACAATGGTTCTTGTTCCTTCACTGTATATCTGGTAAAGTAATGATTGTGAAGCTGGAACCATTCCAAGAATATTCCAGGCAAGTTATAATTAATGATGAAATTAAAAACCCTGATGATAACCTGAATGATCTTTCCCCAATTCCAATTCTCCCATCTCTTCCTCTTCAGTTTTTCTCTTTTTGTTCTGCTCTCTCTCTCTTTCTTCTCTCCTTTTTCTGTTATCTCTTCTTGCTCATCCCTTCGTCATTTTTCTTTCTTTCACTCTCTCTTCTTCTTGTCATTGTCTTTTTTTTTAACAGTACTGCTGCCATTTATTCTATCAATTTTCTGCATCTGTCATTTCCAAGGTAACGTATTCAATCCACTTGGATCTTTACTGTGTGGGAATTTAGATTCCCTGTATCATCTCCTATTGCAATGCATTCTTAGCCTACCCCTACTATAGATTTCCTTCATTCATTCCTTCTTGTATTAATAGGATTTTTGATTTATCTACTCTCCTAACCTTTACAAAACATGCTGGTATTTGAATAGTCTTGGTCTATCTTTCAGATTGATGGTCGGTTTCCATAGAATCTTAGCTTTTAATCTGCTTCAAATCAGCTAATCCCTCATAAACCATCCAGAGGTAGAAAGGTCTCAAATCAATTAGAATTGGATCCAAAATTAATCTTAAAAATAAACAGAACACTGGGCTTGGGGAGGCCAGATTTCTCTGGGGTTTCCTGTGGTTTCTAAGGTTCCCATTTCATCAGAGATATCACCTCTCACAATCTCAGTATCACCATGAATATCACTGCTGTCACCTCACTGTCACTGCAAATGTCACTTCTGCTGTTTCAGTAACAACAAGGATATTAACCACAATATTGAAATAGTCCTGCACACACCAGCCTCACTATCTCAATATTACAGCAGATACCAAATATGGTATCTCATACTCAATATCACCCATTAATTCAAACTCATTACAGATATCACCACCACTGCTGCAAAATCACTGCACTATCACAATCATTGTCTTAGTATCATTATGGCTATAACCCGACTGTCTCAGTCTCAGCATAGAATTTATCTCCAGAATCAGAGTATCACCTTGAATGTCAGCCCTACCATCTGAGGCTCCTTAACTGTAGTTTCTGTTTGTTAAGAAACTGCAGGCAATGTGTCATCAAAAGAAAAAGCACAGTGTAAAAATGAGTTTCCATACCATGGCATAAACCATCAGCTCCAATTCCTTTTTCACCTCAAAGTCTAGTTGCTGGGCCAAATGGACCTTTCCACTGCTCGGTAAGTTGATTATGAAGAATTCTGCATCACTCTACAACAAAAGGACGGAGTTTGAAAAGAACAATAGACTTCACTCATCCATCAGCAGGTGAAGAGACAGTGAGAAGCTTCTCATCTGATACACAACTGTCTCCTCCCCCCACCTCTATTTTCTCTCTATCTTGCTTTCTCTATCTATTGCAACATTTTAGCCTCTGCCTCTTTGATTTTACTATAACCATTGATCCTTTCAATTTCTGCTCTTTCTCTTCTTGAACTGCTACAAACTCTTCCTTACATTTGCCAGCCCCACAATCCCTTACCAATGTATATTTACTTCCCTTTTTTTATTTTGAAGCAAAATCTCCATACACCATCTCCTATTCCTTCAGGGTTCTCCCAGGATCTTACAGAGTGGAGTCATTCCCTCTCCCAGTCTATTTTTCCATACTAACTATAATATTAAGAATGGGATCACCTTACTATGTTTATTGATTCCTCTAATTAATGTTCTTCCTGTCTCCCCCTTCTGGCTGCCCTACACTTTGGCTATGATTTAAACTAGAATCCCCATGATGACTTTGATAACCAGCTAGAGATTTCGGGTTTGGAAGATAGTTAGGGGAAGTGACAGTAGACATGAATTAGGTGAACAGCTGACAGTTCCACAGGCACCTCAGCCATCTTCAAAAAATGAATTTCAGGCAACTTGTCAGCAGTGGCTTGACAATGGACACTGGGATTGAGGGGAGTGATAACAGTTGGAGGCAGTAATGGTTGGGGGTGGAGCAACAAGAGTGTTGGGACAATTTGGAGTACTACTATGGAATCATATTATTTCTTGAAAATATCCCTCCAATTGACATGTGCTGTCAAATGCGAAAGGAAGCTGGTTTAGCTCCTGCTGCATGAAGTCCAATTTCTCAGAGGGGGCTTATTGCTTATTTAGGGTGCCTGAAAGATGGGTTTACTTTGATAACTGGTCAAATATCTTTTAGCTATCTTTTGGGCATGGGACACTGATCTTGAAAATTGCCCCTTATGCCCACATTTTATGCTCCTAACCAATGTGTTCCAACCCCTACTCTTACATTGTTCCCTGTCCCTATTTTAATAGCACAATAATGATTTGTAGGGAGTATAGCAGTCCTTACATCTCTTCCATTTTCATCGGTAGGTGCCCCAGAGTCAACCAGATCATCATTCTCAGTGCCAACCCTCTAATCCAACTTCCTACAGCTTTCTGCCTCCTTTTAGCTGTGGCTGAACCAGGACTGAGAACCAAACACAATTTAAGGAACAGATTGCCACAGATTGCAATATAATATGTAATATACTAACTAAACCATATGCACTAGCCTGACTACATGCAGGTAGGCATATTTAAATAAAGGAGTTATGATGTAGTGTTTTCTGATGCCCAAATTTATGCCAGTTATGCCATTTTTATTAACATAAAATAAGCTTCCAACATTGCTAGGCCATACCTTGTGGAATTAAACAACAGGCACCAATTTAAAGACCCACAGAAGGTACAAAGGGTTTATGTGTTATTGCATTTCTTCACTGGAAACTGAAACAAAACTCAAAATCATTTTACCCATGCACTCATCCCTTTAGGAGGGAGATTGGGGTGAATCACACCTGCATAATGGCCTGGGTGACTTTGTTCATTAGGGTAAAGATTCTATGTCATCACCTGTTTGAAAGAGATATTCAACCTACTCCTCAACAGGACAGTTGTTTCAATTGCAACTCTTTAGCTTCCACCTACCGATGCGCCATCAATCATGTAGATGAGGTCATCCCCGTCCCTGTCATGTGCCTGCAGTGTGAAGACAACATTGCCGACTGGCGTGAACTGTAAACGTGGGGGATGGAACAATAAAAACAGTTTAAAGATGCTCCTGAAAGTTGGGTGGTTTAAAATCCAAAAAATGTCAGAGGGTAAATGGTATTTAGTTTGAAGGGAATCTTTCATACGGAATCTTGAAGAAGATTAAAATAATGAACTTGAATTTATATAGCACCATTCATGACCTAGGACATCCTATAGCACTTTGCACTCAATTTAGTTCTTTTTGAAATGTATGCCCTGTTGCAATATAGTAGCCAATTGGAGCACTACATTTTCTCACAAACAGTAATGAAATCATAATGCTATCTTGTTTAATGATGGTGAATGAGGAAAAATATTGGCCAGGAGAATTTCCTTGCCCTACATCTAAATGATGCCATGGGATTTTTTTGCATCCACCTAAGAGCTCAGATGGAGCCTTGACATAACACCCTCAATTGAAAGTCAGCACTTTGAAAGGTGCAGCACTGTTTCAGCCCTCTCTCAGAATTACTCCCCACTGGAGTAACCGCTGGAAATCAAATTTCGCAATTCTGGTGAAGTCATAAAAGTTAAAGATTTGTTATAAAATACAGGATTCCCCAATTTGCCTGATATTCAGACCTAAGTTGACAGATAGCCAAGAATCAAACCAGGTTACTGTACTTATCAAGAATTACTGTTTATTATAAACAAATAGGCAATAGCTACATGTAAACAATTGTGAGCCATGAGCATATAGCTGTACCAGTTAAAACTGTAACACTCTTATAAACGCACATTTATACACACACACACACACACAAAATGGGTATTCTAGATGGAGGGGAAAGTCGAAAATAATTCACTGGTTTCTGTTTATAGGATCTGCTGAGATGGTTCTTGTGCTGATCAGAATGTTGCTTTAGCCTTCCTTCTCTGGACGCCTTCACTGATTTACAGGAGATACAGGACAACTGCTTCATACTTCTAAATATTCTCTAACTTATTCAGGAAAATCCACAGCTTACATGAACTGCCAAAGGAAAAATACACAAGTTTTCTTAAGTTTTAATGCAGCTTTTACTGCAGAAAACAACGAGAATGTCTGAGCTGTTGGAGATCTGAAGGCTTCTCACTATCCTGTTCACAGCCTCAAGTTGTTCAGCTACTTGAGAATTGATCACACAGTTGTTGGCAGGCAGAAAGCCTTCATCATTGACAACTAGTCACTGGTTTACAGACCAATCAGCTACTTGTTGTCAGCTGAATCTCCAGTTGTACATACCCCTTGGCTCCAATTCATCTGCAAACTTCCTTGCAGTTATTGTTTGAACAAGTAGCTGTGATAGCAGTGCTTGCAATGAGTATCAGGTTCCTTGCTTTTAAAAACTGCAATAATCTTTCCATAATCCTTGTTTTAAAACAATTCTTTTTCCATTACAGACCACAATTAAGAACATAAGAACTAGGAGCAGGAGTAGGCTGTCCGGCCCTTCGAGCCTGCTCCGCCATTCAATAAGATCATGGCTGATCTTTTTGTGGACTCAGATCCACTTACCCACGTTCTCACCGTATCCCTTAATTCCTTTATTGTTCAAAAAAAATCTACATTATCTTTAAAAACATTTACTGAAATAGCGTCAACTACTTCACTGGGCAAGGAATTCCATAGATTAACAACCCTCTGGGTGAAGAAATTCCTTCTCAATTCAGTTCTAAATTTGCTCCCTCTAATCTTGAGGCTATGCCCTCTTGTCCTAGCTTCACCTGCCAGTGGAAACATCCTCTCTACTTCAATCTTATCTATTCCCTTCATAATTTTATATGTTCCTTAAGATCCCCCCTCAATCTTCTGAATTAAAAATACAGAAAATTAAATAGACATGGTCTTTACAGAGGGCCAAACTGGATTATGTGCTCAAGTCCGAGCATGGACAAGTCTAGTCTCTAAGGTGAATGTAAAAGTTTCCTGTGGATCTTTCAGTCCACAAATTGGCTATTGCAGTAACTACACTTCAAGGAATTACTACACTGGTTATAAATGACTTAGGAACTTCCTGAGGTTGCAAAGGGTGCTTTATAAATGCAAGTTCTTCTTCTTTAATATATGAGACATCAGTCAGTCTCTCACCTCACTGATGTTGACTTGCTGAATATTTTCTTTAAGGAACATTGGTGGATTGTCATTTTCATCAAGTACCTGCACCATTAGTCTGTAGTGGATCTGCAAATGGACAAAAACATATACTTATTGTTGAAGTTATAGGTGGAGAAACATCAACATTTGAGTGAAAGTCAACAACACAATCAATCAAATCTACACCTAACTTTCTATCCACCTTTCTCCAATGTTTCACTTCTTTCCTATGGAACTGCTATCATAAGTTATTGGGATCTAAACATTCTCTCTGAAAATATGGTGGAACTTGATTTTGTAGATAATTTTAAAGAGACTTGGACAGCTGATTGAGGGTGAAGATACTAACAGGGTTATAGACAAAGTGAGGGACTGAGGGACATGGGATTAAGCAAGAGTAATTCCAGAGAGTTCACACAGGTTCGATGGGCTGAATAGCATCTTTCTGTGCTGGAACTTTCTCTTCTACAAATTAAGACTGTCCTAACCCTCATGGAAGAGTGCACTGGAAATCAAGATTCGACAAGTGCTCATAAATGTGAAATGTGACCAATTTACTCACTATGATGGTTAATGCCTGACTTTGATCACTATCTAAGATGAAAGAAACATTAACTGAGTTCCATCAATGAATAGGAAAACAAATCTTATTTATTCTGACAAATTTATCCTCTTAACATTTGGCAAAAATTAATTCCATATTATTAACGTGCACAGTTAAACTACACCCTCTTTAAATCCAAACATGCACACATTCATTCATAAATGGGATGGACAAGACAGACTAGGCAAAATAAAAACCGAAAAAACTGTGGATGCTGTAAATCAGGAACAAAAACAGAAGTTGCTGGAAAAGCTCAGCAGATCTGGCAGCATCTGTGAAGGAAAAATCAGAGTTAACGTTTCGGGTCCGGTGACCCTTCCTCAGAACTGTAAACTCAGAAATATAATGGAGGATAATATAGGAAAAGGGATCAAAGTCTGTGGACCAAGAGTCCGAATTGAAAAGCATGGAATGAGAGAACTTTCTTAGGTTTTGGCAACGATATTGCATTGCTTTCAATCATCATGATCCTCGATTCAATAGGTGGTCAGATTGATCTAGGTCGTGATTCAAGTTAATAGTTTTCTTTCTTGGCAAGGTTTATGATTATTATTCATTTTCACACAGAGGGAGAGAAACAGAGAGAGAAAAGATCTCACTTCCTTGCAGACTTTTTGGAGGTCTTAGTCCAACTGGTGTCTCTCTCCTCAATTCTCAGTGACCAACTGCTAAATAGAACAAATCCAAACGCTATTTCTGAGCAGTTTCTTTATCTTCAACCCTAAAGCACTTGGAACTGTCATAAAATTATGAGATCCAGCTTCTTTAAAAAAAAAATGCCCTTGTAAAATAAATAAATGACCATATTGTTACACTTTTCCTTTGAGTTATAATAAAAAAAACTTGTTCATTCTCTGCTACAAAGCAGTTTCAAACTTCCATTTTTCAGTTTATATTTTAACTAAAATATCTGTAGTCATCACAAGGCCCAGTAGGCATAAGGCAAACTGCACCAAAGTTGATTAAAATTAGGGAGAAGATGAGATAGAGCAAAAGTCAACAGTTAGCCTAGATTTTAAAAGCCTGAGGATCAGAGGAAGAGAAGATGGCCATATTATTGGGGAGTTTGATAGATTAGAGCAGTGAGTTTAACAAAATGGAGATGGAAGATTGCAAACTGGCATATTTATAACTTGGCAGTAACAAAAGGAAAATGTTCAGAGAAATACTGACTGTGATGATATCATAGAATCAGAGAGCACAGAATGAGGCTATTTGACTCACCAAGCCTGCATTGGCTCTTTGGCAGATATGGTCCATTAGCATTACTCTCTTGCTCTTTCCACTGATCCCTGCCATTTTTTCCATTCCAAGTGTTTATCCCATTCATCCTGAAAGTTACTATTGAATTTGCATCCAGCATGCTTGTAGGCAGTGAATTCCAGAACTGAACAATTTGTTTTTGTGAGTTTCTCATCTTTGCCTTGGCTATTTTGCCAATTACTCTCTGCCCTATCCAATCAAGAGTATGTTTGATTTCTTGAACAAACTGACCTTCATTCCTCTGTAACGCAGTCCCTACCATCAAATACCATGTTATACTGGTGTCGATGCAGGGAGTGGTTAGTTAGTTGCTAGATGTTGGATTGATAGTGCAAACCCTCACTTGACTGAGTTCATGATCAGAGAGAGAGGACCACTGACTTGGAGACAGTTCAGGTAGGTCAGAGGGCGAAACACATTTCATCTATTGCCTATTGAGACCTAGGATCCAGTCATGGATAGCATAGATAAGTTCATGGTGGGGAAGGGCAAGTCTGAGACAGGTAGGCAAAGTGTAGAAAATAACAAGCACAAACATTACTCTCAGAACATGAATAATAGAAAAAATATTTCTGTTGAGGGGGTGATGAGTGGAAGACCAAAACTAGAGGTCAAAAATACAAATATTCATGAATAAATTTAACAGGGAATTTATACAGAAATTTCTTTACCTAAAATATGATTATAATATGGACAAAGATATTGAGCTGATTAGCATAGATGAATTAAAGTGAATACCGGATCAACATAATGGGGCATAAAGAAGGTTATTCTGAAAAGATCAGATAAAGTAAGGTGAAAGAAAACTCACATTAAGCGTGTAAACATTGCAATAAATCTGCTAGACCAGAACACCTTTCTATGCTGGAGGTTTGATGTAACTTGATGTAATTGCTTTTACCCAGACCATTTCTGACAAAATAAACTAAAGTTTTGTTTTTTCTTAAAATAAAAGCTTCTAAAAGAAATAAAACATAACGCTTGCAGCTTAATTCAGGATGTTCCTTTAGGTTAGTCATACTTCACATTGTGGTTGATATGAAACATGTTTGAGTTTCAGTTTAATGTAGGCCATGCCATAATATTTCGGCATCTGGTTACAGTCCTCAGATAAATGCTGATAAGCCATTTCTCAGAGGTAGACACCACCTCTTGGGCTTCACACATCAGCTGCAGAATAACTGAACCAACATGGAACAAAGTTTGAAAGTTTCTAGCCTAGCTAAGGGGCTCACGGTTAACATTTGGAAGTCAGTAGCCGGTTGTAGAACTCCACTGTTCCTAACCAATGAGTTACACAGAGAGAGACAACAGCCTTAACCCAGGAGCACACAGTACAGAATGTACCAGTAGAGCTTTCATGAGTTAGGAACAAAGATGGAAATACATACAAGCCCAGAACAATCTACAAAGGATGTACGACTCCATTGGCCTGGATATTCCTGCACATATATCAATTTGCTATGTATTTCATAAATAAATGTTAATATTATTTATTGTATTTCAAACCACAGGTATGTATCAGAAAATGTATAGATAGACTTAGAATAAAATAATGAGATATCCATACCTGATCTGAAGATGTAACATCAGTACAGGTTATCGTGGCAAAGAGAAGGGGCATGGACAGTAGCTATTGATAAAATGCAACACACACAATGTTACACAGTAAGAATAGTATTCACACCTAAAAGTTACTATGCTTTCATCTCTGCTTCTAAAGGCTGGGGGCTCATTACAAATTGTTCACAGATATTTTCAGTCCATAACGAATGGCCCTAATTGAGATTATGGGGACGCAATAACCTAGTGGTATTATTGCTTGCCTGTTAATCCAGAGACCCAGATAATATTCATGGGACCCAGGTTCGCATCCTATAGAATTTGAATTCAATTTTAAAAAGTATCCGGAATTAAGAATCTAATGATGACCATGAAACCATTGTCAATTGTCGGGAAAAACACATCTGGTTCATTAATGTCCTTTAGGGAAAGAAATTGCTATCCTTACCTGGTCTGGCCGACAAGTGACTCCAGACCCACAGTAATGTGATGACTCTTAACTGCCCTCTGGGCAATTAGGGATGGGAGATAAATGCTGCCTAGTCAGCGATGCCCTCATTCCATGAATGAATAAAGAAAGATGCCTAAGGCTAGCTAGAAATTGGGCTTTGGACTCATTAACACCATTTGTGTATTAAAAAACATTTATTCGTTCACAGGATGTGAGCATTGCTGGTGATGCGAGCATGTAGTGCCTTACCCTACCTTGACCTTATGAGCTACATCCTTGAGCCACTGTATTCTGTGTAGTGAAGGCTGTGCTGTTAAATAGGAATTCTCGCATCCTGAACATGAAGAAATAGCAATACAATTCCATGTCAAGATGCTATGCAACTTGGTGAGGAGCCTGGAGGTAATGCAGCATCTCATAAGGGAGCATTCTTTTATTCAAAGTCTAATTCTACTATCGTAGGACTTCCAGACTTTCCTTTATCTCTGTACCTCTCGATCCAACTGTCTGGTAGGCAACACATTCAGCTTGACAACTTCCTCCTCCAAGTGAAACCACTTCATATCCGTTCCTGTCAGATTCAAGTTGATTTCATGGCTGGAAAGGTTGCCATTTACAGTGAGCTTTGCGATGACTGTGCCATTTGGACTGTTCTCTTTAATATCAACGTACAGGTCATGCCCTCCCAAACACCGGTCACCTGGTGCAGATGAACAGGAAATAATGCGGAGCTAAATGAGTTATAATTCACAATATGGGATTCAGCCATATGGTTAGCAGACCCTGAGGCCATATAAAGCCCATGATACTAACTGTGCAGTGATTCTGAAGAGACTGCTGGCTAATGACTGGCCAGTATTTTGGGAAATGTGATAACCAGCTAATTACTGGCTTTGTAACTGTAGAAGACCCAGTCTAGAGCATGTGGCTATGCATACAGAGAAAACCTGTTAGGCATATTACTAGCTTGTAAAGACCAAGTATTTTTATTTTTTTTAAAGACTCTGAATCAAAATGAGAAAGAGCTCTTTTTAAACTAGTGTTTGAAAAGGTGGCTGAATGTTCTGAAAGCAAGGAACTTAATACCCCTGACAAGCATCATGTAAACAACTGATTGAACAATCAGCAATTGACATTTGAGTTGCAGACAATTTGGAGCTGGGTTGGGGGGGAGGGGAGTGTACAGACACAGCTCTGGATGATAGCAAGAAGTTGATTGGTCTCAAAAACAAAGTTGCTGGAAAAGCTCAGCAGGTCTGGCAGCATCTGTGAAGGAGAAAACAGAGTTAACGTTTCGGGTCCGGTGACCCTTCCTCAGTTGATTGGTCTATTTGCTCCAGACCAGTTATCAATGACAGAGACCTTTCACCTGCCAACAACTGTGTGATTGCTTCTCAGGTAACTGAACCACTTGGAACTACGAACAAATTACAATGGGAAAGAGAGATGTGTTCAGTTTTTCCCCTCTCCAGGAGCAGTCTCACTGTTCTCTGTAGTCAAAATTAACTTGAAACCTGAAGAAGAAGTTTTATCTTGCAACAGTTGTTGTAAGCTGTAACTTTTAACTGATAGTCAGAGGCTTTTTATAAACCACCTTGAGCCTCTCACTATTCAGGGGAGGCATCTGGAGAAAGACTATTGCTGGCCAGGAATAAAATCACAAAGATCATCTCAGCAACAGAACTTAAGAACAAACACTATTGAACTGTCTTTCCAGTATTTTTCCCTCTGACACATCCTTCTATTCCTTTCTTTCTGTCTGTGGATGTGTAAAGAGGAGTGTATGAGAGCATTAGACTTTAATTAATAGTGTTATATGCTGACAGTTTATAACTGTTTACCTGTAGCTAGACTCTAATTACTTGTAATAATGATCATTCTTGTTCAGTACAGAAACCTGGCCTATGCTTCCTATCAAGTTGGGTCTGAAAATCAGAAAAACTGGGGAACTTTGCATACTTTATAAAATCTTCAACTGTTTTAGTGACTCTAGAAATAGTGGGGCTGGATTTCCATGTGCTGTTCCAGTGAGGTGTCATAAACTGCATGCTGCAATCCCCTGAGGTAATGGAGTTCAGTTATTCCTATAACAAATATCTGGGAAAGCAGGTCAAGGTTAAGTATAGCTCTATGTTTGTAGACTTCAACTTTTTTAAAGGTTTCTTTGTGGTCCAGGGGGAGATAGAGTTTGGTCTGAAGCCATTTTGCTAAATATTTATACTAGCAGCAATGAGAAGAGAGTTTCATACACACTACACCACATACACCATACTTTGACCATGGAAAGGGGTGCATTGTAGATTGACAAGAATATCATAGAGTCATAGATTCATGTAACATAGAAGCAACCCCTCAGCCTATCATGTCTATGCCAACCAATAAACACCAAACTACACTAATCTCAAATACCTGTACTTGGTCCATTCACTGTCCTGTCATTTTCAGTGCTCAACCAGATGCTTCTTAAATCTTACAAGAGCACCCATCTCTATCATTCTCTCAGGCAGTACATTCCATATTTCTATTACCCTTTGGGTGAAAAATATTTTTCCTCAGACGTCCTCTAAACCACTTACTTCTCACCTTAAACTTGTACCCTCTGGTCTTAGGTATGTCTGCTGTGGAGAAAGATTCTCACAATTCACTCTCATAATTTTGTACACCTCAGACTGTAAACTGAGACCATCCTCCTCAGCATTAAGAATTTTTGTGTCATCTGCAAATTTACTAATTGTACCTTCTACATTCACACCCATGTCATTAATGTACATAATAGACAGCAAGGGCCCCAGCACTAATCCCCGTGATACATAGCTGGTCACAGGTTTCCAATCACAAAAACATCCTCTACCATCACCTTTTACCACCTGTTTGCAAGCCCATTCTGGATCCAGTTTGCCAACTTGCCTGGGATCCCATGGGCTCTTACCTTTTGGAATAACCTTCCTTGTGGGGCCTTGTCAAAGGTTATATCAAAGTCTATGTAAACTGTATCAACTGCACTACTCTCATCGATATGTTTAGTCACATTTTCAAAAAGCTCAATTAAATTAGTCAGGTGGAATCTCCCTCTCACAAATCCTTGCTGACTATCCCTGATCAATCCCTGCCTTTCCAAGTGATGATTAATCCTGTCTCTCAGAATATTTTCCAACAATTCCCCTGACATCAGGCTAATTGATCTATAATTAATTGGCCTATCCCTGTTGTCCTCCTCAAACAAAGGAACCACATTAGCTATCCTTCAGTCATCTGATACTTCACCGGTGGCCAGTGAAGTGTTAAATATCTCTACTAGGGCCCCAGCAATCTCTACCCTTGCCTCTCATTGCAGCCTGCGATACATCTCATCAGTCCCTGGGGGTTTATGCATTTTCTTGCCCACCAGAACATCCTCTTTATTAATCTTAACATGTTCCAAAACCTCACCATCCCAGCTACAATGTCTTTCTCCGCAGTGAATACAAATGAGAACTTTTCATTTAAGACCTCACCCACATACTCTGGATCCATGTACAAATTACCTCTTTGGTCTCTAATAGGCTCCACTCTTTCCATGGTAATCCTCTTAGCATACTTATAAAGTGTCATGGGGTTTTCCTTAATCCTATTTGCCAAAGTTTTTTGTGGCCCTTCTTTGTCCTCCTAATTTGTTTATTTTAGCACCCCCTACACTCTCTACATTTTTGATGGTCTTCCCCTGTTTTTAATGCACTGCACATGACATATGTTTCCTTCTTTTGGAGTTGATTGTTGCAGATAACATTCAGGCAGCTGAAATCCTTTGTGTAAATGAGGGTCTGATGATTTTAGCTATGAAGTGACTCAGAACAGCTCCATATAAAAGGGAATTTGTTTCACACTACATGGTCATTAAGACTGGAGACTTTGTCTTATTGAGCATATTGGGAATTTGGTTCAAAGTGGGAACTCAATGCAGAGGAGGAAAGACATGCTTGAAGTAAGGATTACTGCAGAAAAAAAGACTCCAGATTGAGATGTAAATGGGAGTGGATATAAAACACAGATCGAAAGGCTGACCTGCAGTGAAACTAGCAGTGGATTGACATTGCAAAGCACAACATGGTGGAGGTGGAGGTGGAGGTGGAGGTGGAGGTGGAGGTGGAGGTGGAGGTGGAGGTGGAGGTGGTAGAATTGATGAATATTTTAAATCATTAAAGTCAAAATAAGATATTCAGTTTGTAGTGGGTGTTTAATTTTTTTACTTCTCTTTTCTTAAAAATAGTTTTTCAAGTGTAAGATTGGTTCTGGTGTTTCTACAAAAGAAAATTAATTATAGTAAACTGTAAGGTGCAGGAATTCTACAATGGTTAATGAACTAAATTAAGTAAAATAGTTTAGTAATGGTGAGATAGGAAATGCATTGCTGCTGCAGCATGTGGAAGCTGCTGAACATGAATTTGATCCAGGGTGAACACATTTGTAGTGAGCCACATCCTTCATATTAAGTCATTTAAATTCAAATTTGGTCTATGCCCGGGGACATAACTGTTTGGTTGGAGTTGAGATAGATATAGGGACCTCGTTTGGTTGATGGGGTGGGGAATCATTTCAGGTGCCTGAGTCCCTGCAATTGTAAGAACAAAGGTTCTTACAAACTGCATGAACATGAGTGGGAACTGCAGGGAGAACAAGCAGACTGACCAAGGCATCAGGTTGCAGGGAGCCATTCAAGTTGTGGGAGGAAATAAGAAAGTAGCAGCTGTAGGGGACAGTACAATTAGGAGCTGAGATAATGTCCTATGCAGCCATGAGCATGAGTCCCGATGGCTGTGTTGTCTGCCTGGTGCCAGGGTTAAGGGCATCTCCTCAGGGCTGGAGAGGAACTTAGAATGGGAAGGGAGAGATCCAGTTGTTGTCATTTACGTTGTTACCAATGACATTGATAGGACTAGAGAAAAGGTCCTGCTGAAAGAGAAACTAGATGAAAAAGCATGGTTTAAATGCATACCTCAAAGATCGGTGTATCCAAAATGTGTTTTGGGCCATGGGCGCTGGCATCAGTATTAGGGGAAGGCAGCTGTTGCTGTGGAATGGGCTTCATTTGAACCATTCTCGGACTACTGTTCAGGTTAATTGAATAACTGGGGCCTTAACCTAATTAGAAGGTTAGGGAAGGTTTGACAGAGAAGACACACGGATTTACAAAGCAAAAGCATATAGCAGCATTGCTGGGCAGCTATTTTGGTAATTGGAACCAGAGTGGGTCGGATAGAGACAGTTTAAACAAATGTAGAAAAACAACGGCAATAGTGTCAAAGAAGGAAAAATGGTTGAAAAGGAACGGTCTAAATGACCCTTCTTCAGAACTGGACCCGAAATGCTTTCTCCCCACGGATTCTGCCATACATGCTGCATTTTCCCAGCAATTTCTGTTTTTCTTTCTGATTTTTTTGTGTGGGTGATTTTTAATCCGTACATAAGATTGGAAAATTCAAATCGGTCGAGGTAGCCATGAGTGCATTTGGCAGAGTTTCCTAGAACTATGTGTCATACAGGGAACAGGCTTTTTGGGATAATAAGACAGGTTTGCTCATCAATCTCAGAGCAATACATGCTCTAGGAAAGAGTGAGCATAATATGGTAGAATTTACCATTCAGTTGGGAGTGAGGAAGTTGATTGGGCTACATCTGTGCTAGACTTAAATAAGGGTAATCACGAAGGAATGAAGGCAGTGGTAGCTGAAACAGATTGGGAAAGGAATTTAGCAAAACAAGTTTGAGGAACAATGGCAGGTTTTTTGAAGAAAATACTTCATGACACACAACAAAAATAAATCCCAATTAAGAAGAAGGATTCTAGGAAGGGGATAAAACCAAACATGGTTAACCAAGGAAGTTAAAAATAGAATCAAATTGAAAGAAAAATCATATAATCTGCCAAATATTAGTCCGGAGGATTTACGAAGTTTTAAAAAACAACAAAAGATAACTTTTAAAAAAACAGAAAATAAATTTTGAGGGTTAACTAGCAAGTAATATTAAAACAGATAGCAAGAACTTCTTTAAAGTATATAAAACAGAAGAGAGGCCAAAGTGAACTTAGACCCTTTACAGAATGAGACTAAGGAAATAATGATGGGCAACCAGCAAAGGAAACTGGAAGCAAATAAAAAGTACAGGTGACTCCAGGCTAATTAGCTCAATGTTGTATCTTTCACAGCCTCTGAACTGCAGCAATGTTTTACAGTCAGTGTGATACTTACTTGCAATGAAATAAAGTGTTGTTATGTAGTAAACTTTAGTTATCAATTTGTGCACAGATTTCATAAACCTCTTTGTTCATCTTTCAATTTGTCTTTGGATCTTTTATGTTCACATGAGAGAGCAGACAGGTACTCTGGAGATGTTAACACACAATCCATACAGTGCAGTCCAAAGAGAGTGGCTGAAACAGCAGAGGACCAGATCTTCAAATGAGATGTTAAGCTAAAGGTGGATCTACCTTGCCAGAGTATCACTTAAAACAAATAATTTGGTCATTGTTATTATCATATTGCTGTGTGTGGAATCTTACTGTGCACAAATTGCGAACTGCAAGTTCTACATTATAAATGAATAACTTCAAAATGGAATTAACTGTCTATAAGATGCTTTGGGATGTCCTGAATTTATGAAAGGCAGTTACATACATGTGAGTTCTTTAGTTCTTTCTTTCTGGTCTTACGAAGGAAAATCTTGAGGAAACGAAAATGTAGCTGTTACCTTCCATGAGGACTGGTATAAACCTGATGAGCAGCAAGCTTACAATCAGCCTGTGAGCCTTTAGTGTAGTGTTAGTGTCCATGTTGCAGCGGCTAGGGTGACCCCTCCTCACTTGCTTCTCAGAATTGTTGCCAAAGTTGGGTGTGAACCCTTTAATCTGTTAAGAAACAATTTGAAATGATTTGTTTTTAACTCTGAGGTTTTGCTGTTGCTTTCAGGCCTGCAAACAGAATGTTGCCTCTGGTCCCTTGTTTAAACAACAAGTTTGTTTATGCTTTACTAATTTACATTTTTTTTTGGCATTGCGTACCCTTTTGTACAGGTTACATAGAATGATAGAATTTCTACAGTGTGGAAAAAGGCCATTCAGCCCATTAGGTCTGCACCAACCATCTGAAGAGCATCCCATCCAGACCCAGACCCAGACCCCCAACCTACTCCTATAACCCCGCATTTCCCATGGCTTATGCACCCAGCCTGCACATTCCTGGACACTAAAGGGCAATTTCTCATGGCCAATCCATGTAACCTGCATATTTTTGGTCAATATATAGAGATACTATCTCTAACCTCCCCAACAATAAGAAACAATTTGCGCCACACAAATGCCAGTCTATTACCATTAACAATATGAGACAATCTAACTACCACCCTTTGACAATTCAATGGTGTTACCATTGCTGAATTCCCCACTATCAACATCCTGGGAGTTATCATTGACCAGAAACTCAACTGGACTCACCACCTAAACACAATGGCTCCAAGAGCAGGTCAGAGGCTAGGAATACTGCAGCAAATTACTTGCCTCCTGACTCCTCAGGGCCTGTCCACCATCTACAAGACACAAGCCAGGAGTGTGATGGAATACTCCCCACTTGCCTGGATGAGTGCAGCCCCAACAATGCTCAAGAAGCTTGACGCCATCCAGGACAAAGCATTGGCACTACATTCACAAGCATCCACTCCCTCCATCACCGCTGGTCAGTAGCAGCAGTGTGTGTTATCTATAAGATGCACTGCAGAAATTCACTAAAGGCCCTAGACAGTACCTTCCAAACCCACGACCACTTTTTAAAAAATTCATTCACAGGATAAGGGCATTGCTGGCTAGGCATCATTTATTGCCCATCCCTAATTGCCCAGATGGCAGTTAAGAGTCAGCCACATTGCTGTGGATCTGGATCACATGTAGGCCAGACCAGATAAGGATGGCAGTTTCCTTCCCTAAAGGACGTTAGTGAACCAGATGGGTTTTTTTCTGACAATTGACAATGGATTTGCAGTCATCATTAGATTCTTAATTCCAGATATTTATTTAATTCAAATTCTAGCACATGCTACGGTGGGATTTGAACCCAGCTCCCCAGAACGTTATCTGGGTCTCTGGATTAACAGTCCAGCAATAATACCACTAGGCCATCACCTCCCCAGATGGAAGGACAAGGGCAGCAGCTATATGGGAACACCACCACCGTTAAGCTTCCCTCCAATCCACTCACCATCCTGACTTAAAAATACATCACTGTTCTTTCACTGTTGCTGGGTCAAAATCCTGGAATTCCCTCCCTAATGGCATTGTGGGTCAACCTACAGCAGGTGGACTGCAGTGGTTCAAGGACGCAGCTCACCTTCTCAAGGGCAACTGGGGAAGGGCAATAAATGCTGATCAGTCAGCAACGTCCACATCCGACAACTGAGTTTAAAAATGACTGACTGTATAATGACACATGCAAGTCTCACATCAAAAACTCCATACTACCAATGTCATAGGTAGTTGGTTCCACATTGCATGAGCAATTGGGCAGCCAGACAGAATGGGCAGTGTTTGTAGATATTCAGTAAGTGTGGACAGTTAGGGGAGCAGTTATTGTGGACTGTGAGTGTGGGCTGTCCACATAGGCAGAGTGTGTGGGCAGTCAGGCTGAACAGGTAGGCTGAACGGTCAGGGAAAGTGATCAGGGTGCTGGGCAACTGTGTTTCAGTTGTTGCTGGATCATAGATTTTCAAGACATGGAGGAGAATGCCAACATGGACTGTTTCTGTGTAATGTCTATGCATTTCTACATGGATCATTGTATGATCTACACGAAAGAATATACTTCATACATCAACCATCGATTTGACACATACCTGGAGTGAGTACTAAAGATTTTCACCATATGCCACAAATCTGTTCCTTTAAAATTTCACTGCTCTACTGCTCAGTGGAGTGCAGCTGCCATCTCTGTATTAGAGACAGAAAGAAAATCCAAACAATGGGATTTTAGTGCAGACTCCCAGTGCTGTTTGCAAAACTGTCTCTTGAGCAGCATTACCTAAACCTATGCCTTCTTCCAATGGGCAGAGCACCACATTGCATAATTTATACTATCAGGTAACAGGCCCCCTGCCTGTACTCACACAATCCTGGGACCCCCTGCCTGTACTAATAGATCCCGGGGCCCCCTGTATACACTCACATGATCCCGGGGCCCTCTGTCTGTACTCACACACACATACCTAGGATTCCCTGTGAATACTCGCATGATCCTGGGAACACCTCTGAATACTCATACACCTAGAGCCCCATATACATACAGAAATGCTCATGACACCCCTTGTAAATACTGACATACTCCTGACACACCCTGTAAATGCTGACATTCTCTTGAGACTCCGTGTAAATACTGACATACTCCTGGGATTTCCTGTAAACATTGACACACTCCTAGGACCTCCATGTAAATACTAACATAGTCTTGAGAGCCCCTATAAATATTTATATACATCTGAGACCCCTTGCAGATACTGTCATAAGCTGGGGTTTCTGTAAATACAGCCATACTCCTGAGACCCCTTGAAAACATTGACGTACTCCTGGCACCCCCAAAAATATTGACAGACTTGTGTCTACACCACCACCAACACCCACCCGCCACCCTACACTTCCCCCCCCACCCCAGACTCTACCCCACCAACAACCATAAATACATCAGAGATCCCCTGTAAATACTGACACATTCATGGGATTCTTCGGCAAGTATAGACAAGAAATAATCAGGACAGAGTCACCATTGTAAGTTGAGAAATTTTGAAATTTCTGAGATACAGACACCAACATATCAAAGCTAAGTTAATAATATCCATAGCTTTCACATTAATCTTCAAACAAAAATAACGAATAACTTCATACAGTTATGTTCTTTAACATTAAACCCATACATATAAACATTCTCTTACCCTCACATTCTGGCCTCGGGATTCCTGTTCCATTTGTTTCAATTAGATTCAGTGGAAGTAAATGATGGTCCTAGGTTTTAATAATTAATGAACATGTTTATATTGAAAAGTGTATATGGTTTTTCTTGC